ATTGGATGGATGGATGGATGGATGGATGGATGGATGGATGGATGGATGGGTGGGTGGGTGGGTGGATGGATGGATTTAGATGGTAGATAGATAGGTAGATCAATCTATGTTTACTGTTTTGTTTTTGGTTTTGTTTCATAAAATAACACATTTTATTTTTTTTTTATTTTTGGTTTTTCAAGACAAGGTTTCTCTATGTAGCCCTGGCTGTCCTGGAACTCACTCTGTAGACCAGGCTGGCCTCAACACATTTTGTTTTTTTTAAAGACAGGCTATCACATACCCCAAGCTAATCCTCCTGCCTCATCTCCCAAGTGATTAAGTCATTTTTTTATACCACTATGTGTTAAGGGTTGTTTCTTATCATTTCTTTTTCTCTATGATTACCAAAAAAGCATATATTCATATATGTTCTTTATTCCTTCTCCATTGACATCAACCTGCCTCCAACCATCACAAGCATACTAACTCCCCAGAAAATGGCATGGAAAGTGTTTCTGGAATCTCTTGTATTGTGATGTTCAGGTTAGGAATATCATTTAGGCCACTGTTGGCTGCCAGCACTGTTCATAAAGAATGTTCTAGAACCAAATCCAACTAAGCTTCACTATCCCTTCATTTCACTGGTGTCACCTGTGTGTGGTGCTCTACAGAGGAGGGGGAACCTCCCTGAAAGGCAGTTAGATAGACAACTTCCAAAGTTTGGTTGTTCCTTAATAGCATTTTTTTTCTGGATCTTGTTTTCATATCACAGGAAATGCATAGTGGCTCTCAAAGAGTTGTGATCCCAGCATCCTCTAACTGTAGTCACGCAGAGGCAGCTGCCTGTTAGAGGGAGCTTCTTGGTGCAGTGACCTCAGTAACCCATTTCTTTAGTAACATATGAATTGATTACAGTCTTAGTGAGAGCATGAGAGCCCCAGCCACACATCAACCCTCGGAAATTCAAAGAACTTCTTACATCTTTCAAAATATCATTGGTAGCTTAGAAAAGGCTGGTTTACTCTTCCACTTGAAGACCTAAAAAGGATGGTATAATTAAACTATTGGTATTTTTCATGCCATATTCTTTTCTGTTTTTATAGTTGTGGGGTGGTAGCAGGAAGAGTGAGTTATGAAGCTCTTTCTGCTACCACAAGTGTCTGTCAGATTCATGCTCTATCAGACAGGTTCAGGTTTCAAGCAGACCATTTGCAAGCTGAGCCATGTGTCTATGGTATTAGGTTCCAGTGTTAAGGGGGCAGGATGAAAACTAAGTGACAGCTAGGAGAATTTGTGTGTCATGTCCTCAGACATGTCCACTTTGGTTATGAGGGCCAGGTGTGGCAGGGCTTTCTTCTTATCCTGGTTTTCTGGTGGAGAGCAGTCTAGTTAGAGCTGTCAGCCAGCAGCAAGGAGCCTGAAGTGAAAGGACATGGATTTCTGGTCCCATGACAGCCAAGCTACTTGTGGCTCAAAAAGATTTTTTTAAAATAGCTTTCTGGCTAAGTAATTGAAAACATCCAGGACCATGCACAACTCACAGAAATGCCCATTGCTTTCCCTAGTACCCTAGAAGGTGACCACAGCCAGTCTCATTTTCCTAGCCCTGAACTTCTAGCAGTATTTTCTTCTGAGTTGATGCTATTACCTAACATGTAGCAAGAAAGCAGAAGGAGGAGAATGGAATGTCTTAAATATCTTATTACATTTCTTTTCTGCTCATCTAATAAATAAGAAAACTAAACTGTTACCCAGAGTAGCCCAGTCATACGTGTGCCTATGGTTACATGATTCCAAATTCAGGTCAGAGGCCACTCAAGGGAGGGGAGATCTGAGGCGTGGTTGCATCATCTAGGCCACAGGCCAACTCTGAAGTTCCTTTTTAGCAGCTTGTTTATTTACTTGCCTGCCTAGAACGGGAGTTGGGGGTCAGCTGGATTAGAAGTTACCAGTTAAAATAATAGGTATGATCTAATGTTGTATGCCACATCCTATCAGTGTCAGAGCGTTAGAATACACCAGACAGAGCCTCACCGAAAAGCAATCTAGTGTCACCAGCAAACCAGTGATGCACACATGCCCCATGATCCATATATTACATTCTATTGCATGACACCTCTGAGAGACTGAAGTCTTAGCAGCCACAAGAATGTCCCTGGCAATGTTTATAGTAGCCGAGACTATTTGTCAACCATATGGACAAACTAATTGTGACACATTTATTTCACTTTATGAAAATATATTTACATACAGTGATGGAGCTTGAAAACATTTTAGTTAAAATAATGTTTTTACAGTTAGGTGTGGTGGGCATGCCCCTAATCTCAGCAGAGAAAGGCAGGCAGATCTCTGTAAATTCAAGGCCAGCTTGGTCCTCAAAGTGAGTTTCATGATAGTCAGGGCTATGTAGTAAGAGTGAATCTTTAAAATAATTAATTTTTAAAAACCACCTGCATTAACCTTTTAAGGAAGAGGAAGTGCTCAGGATGGGAGGGTGCAGGGCAGCAGGGGCATGTGAAGGGGCAGTGCTTTAGCGGTGATGATGATAACTGGACTGTGTCAGAGCTGCCTACCACTCTGCTTCAGGCAGATCTTTGGATTAGATTTTCTTTTACTTACTCTCTTATAAGTAGGTGTCAATTGTATCCCCAAGGCCCAATGGAGAATTTTTGATGATCATCAACCTCCAAGAACAGAAGGAAGTCCCTGCTGAGCGGCAGGCTGTGATGTTAGCTACTTCCTCTGAAGCGTTCACTGTTTACACTCACTAGCATAGCTTCCATCTCACATTTCCTCCTGACTGGTCATATTTTAATGTACTAGATTTATTCGGTTTATGTATGGGTGTTTTACGTATGTGTATGTATGTGTACCACATGCATGCTTGGTACCCATGGAGGTCAGAAGTGGGCATTTAGTTCTCTGGAACTGGAGTTATGGATGGTTGTGAACCACCATGTGGGTGCTAAGAATTGAACCTGAGTCCCCTGCAAAAACAATCATTCTTAACCACTGAGCTATCTCCCCAGCCCTGACTGATAAGCAATTTGCAAGCATCTTTTAAAAAACTGTACTTTGGGGAATTCTTGAGATTATGGAAACTTGTCATTTGTTTGTTGGCTAATAAAATCAGCTGCTATTTTATACCATCAAGTGGCTAAGAACAGCTACGCTCTGAACTGTCTCTTCAGTCACATGCATCACAGGAATTATCTTCTGGTGCTAAGTGAGAAGACCCATTTGAACAACCCCACAATAAGTGACAGTGTGAAAATTAGAAAACACAGTGGTAACAGAGGCCTCCAGAGCTAAGAAAAGAAAGTTCCATAGGAAGCAAACTGGCCTTGGTTGGTAATAATACAGTTTAGTCCCCACTTACCCAAAGCGTACAGCTTGCCTCTCACTTACTTGAGCTGTGCAATGTGTGTTATGTTGTCTCCTCCTAGGGGTGGCTGGAAGTCATGCAGCTTGAAAAGGGTAAAACTCCACTGTACACCCAGCTAACTGATTATAGCTTGTCTTCATAAACAGATTTGACCTGTTCCCTTTGAGGGAAAGCACCCTCTGCTATGAAGGCCTGAGTCAGAGTGCCCCACCCAAGCAGCAGACAGCAGAGGGAGCTGAGAGCAGGTGGAGAAATGGGAAGAGACAGGGGTCACATCGGTGTAGGCACATGACTCAGCAGAACCCATGTGTGGCCCCAAGCCCAGGGCAAGTTGTTTGAGGCTGAGTTTCCCACTCCACCCAGAAGTTAGGTAACTCTTTGTCTGCTATTAAACCATGGGGACTGTCAAGCCCTACATTTAGGATCTAATCCATGGGCAGGTGATCCTGACCAACCATACAGGCAGCTGAAACATTTTGGCTGGGGCTTTAGGAATTGTGTTTCCTATAAGCATGTAGTTTGAAGTGACTCTCATCCCCACCTCAGACTGCACTTCATGAAATAACCAAAGGATGACTGTGTAGTGGTCTCTGGGGTTGGTAAAGAGCCCTCTTTGGCCCACGTTTTCCCAAGTATTGTCTCAAGTTCTAAGATCTTTTGGGAAAGGCTTGTCGTTTATATTCATCATCTTCTTCTGTAACGGCACATTCAATCCAGATTTACTAGGCCTCCTTTATTTTCTAACTTAATGATCACCTTAGCCAGACATGGTGGCACATGCCTTTAATCCCACGCTGAGGAGGCAGAGGCAGGTGGAGCTCTGTGAATTCAAGGCCAGCCTGTTCTACATAGTGAGCTCCAGGTCAGCAAAGGCCACGTAGATCCTGTTTCAAACACACACAAAAGACTGATCATGTTGGAGCTGGAGAGAAGGCTCAACAACCCACACTTGGTACCCAGCACCCATACTAGGGCAGCTTCTAGAGATCTGACTCCCCTTCTGACCTCTGTGGTCATCCTCACAAATAACAATAAGAAGGATCTTGATCACCATTCCCCCACATCTGTACCAGCAACAAGAGCTACTGTATAAGTTCTCATTCCAATAAACACCTCCAAAAAGTATTGCTCTTTGAGTGACTTATATGTTGTTTACGTTGGAAGCTTGTTTTGTTTTATTTCTGGTTTAATTGTTAAACATTTTTTTAAGATTTTAGATATTTTAATTTTTTAAAAATTTGCATACTATATATTTTGATTGTATTTTGTCCCCTCCCCAAGTCCCAGATCTTCCCCCTACTCCCTACCTTTCCGTCTCAAAAAAAAAAAAAAAAAAAAAAGCATAGGTCAAAACAAACAAAAACCAGTAAGACAAATGACAAAAAAAGCACCCCAAAAACATAGCACCCGTGTTGTGTTGAAGCCTGCTCTAGAATATAGTTGATATATATTCATTGTCACCCTAATGGAGAAAACTGATTTTCCCTTTCCCAGCAAATATCTGATGCAAACAGCTTCTTGGTTATCAGTGGGACTTTGTGTCCCTTTCTCTGTGCTGAGAGGTTTTATCTGGTTTGAGCTTATGCAGGTCTGTGTGTGCTGTCACAGTCTATGAGTTTGTATGTAAGGCAGCCCTGTTGTGTCTGGAAGACATTGTTTCTTCAAGTCATCCCCTACCTTTGGCTCTTACAATCTTTCTACCTCCTCTTCTACATAGATCCCTGAGCCTTGAGGGGAGTAGATTTAGTTATTTTATGTATGTGATGTTTTGCCTGAATGTATGTTTGGTGCCCGTGTACTAGAAGAGGATATCAGATCTCCTGGAACTGGAGTTAAAGAAGGTTGTGAGCCACCATGCGGTTACTAGGAACTGAACCCCAGTTGTGTGTGCGTGTGCGTGTGTGTGTAAAAATCCACATACTCTTAAAATAGTTCCTCAAGAAAACTTCTAACAGGAAGAACTGATTATTTAAGAATTAAATTTGGAGAGCTATTGCTACACTTAACTCTTAAAGTCTACAGGGCCAGTGAGACAGCCCATCAGGTAAGGTGCTTGCCACTAAGCCTGACAACTTGAGAGTGATCCCTACGACTCAGGTGATAGAGTGAGAGAACCAGCTATCCCAAGTTGTCCTCTTACCTTCAATTGTATGCCATAGTATAGCACAACTAGTAAATGAAGTTAAAAAGATTAAAATCAACAGTTCATACTTAACCACACCATGAGAGGACTTGATTATCAATAGTGGCTGTTGGCAACATTTTCAGCTCCCACTAATCTGATGACAGAAAAAAAGTCAGATCTCAACACTCTGGAGGCAGAAGCAAAGAAATCTCTATGAGTTTGAGGCAGACTGGTCTATAGAGTGAGTTCCACCCAAGTCACCCAGGCCTCTGTAGCGAACCCCTGTCTCAAACAAGTCAGATCTCAACCGTCTGTTCTGCTTGATTTGGTTTTTGCTCCTATAAGTTGTGCATCTTTTGATCTTTTGCAGTGTGTGTGTTTGTTTGTTTGTTTTTATCTTGGTCCAATGACTAGGAGCAAGGATTTGCAGGAGATAAGATTTCTCTGAATGTGGTTTCCTGGAGGGATGTTGACTGTTTCACAAACCTGTTTGTGTTTCCTGTTTGTGTTGTTCACAGCAAACAGCGGCATAACAAACTCTGGAGATCTCATTCAGATAGTGACCTCTCAGACCACCATGAACCCATCTGTAAACCTGGGCTGGAGCTCAACAAGAAGGAGATGACCACATCAGCAGACCAGATCACTGAGGTGAAGACTGTGGAGAACCTTGCAGCCATGCCTCCCGTCTTTGTGGAACATGTGGTCCCACAAGATGCAAATCAGAAAGGACTGCGCACCAAAGAAAGAGTCATCTGCTTGGAGTTTTCTTCACAAGAGTTTCATGCCAGTCAGATTGAAGATGAATTAAACTTAAATGACATCAATGGATGCTCGTCAGGGTGTTGTCTCAGTGAATCAAAATTCCCTCTTGACAACTGCCATGGATCTAAAGCCTTACTCCAACCTGGACAGGCCCCAGACATTGCCAACAAGTTCCCAGATTTAGCAGTGGAAGATTTGGAGACAGATGCACTGAAAGCAGACATGAATGTCCACTTACTACCAATGGAAGAGTTGACATCACGACTTAAAGACCTCCCCATGTCACCTGACCTGGAGTCACCAAGCCCCCAAGCCAGTTGCCAAGCTGCCATCTCCGATTTTAGTGCAGATCGTATTGATTTTTTTAGTGCCCTAGAGAAGTTTGTAGAGCTTTCTCAAGAAACCCGTTCTCGGTCTTTTTCTCACTCAAGGATAGAAGAATTAGGTGGAGGAAAGAGTGAGGGTTGTCGCCTGTCAGTGGTAGAAGTGGCACCTTCAGAAATGGCAGCTGATGACCAGAGAAGCAGCTCTTCGAGTAATACTCCCCATGCATCTGAAGAATCTTCTGTGGATGAGGACCAGTCAAAGGTAAAACTGCTTTATGGTTTTCTATTTAATGAAATGCTCACCAAAGAAACTACTGAAGACTTTGCTGTGTTAATGTCTTTGGAAATGGGGGGCAAGAGGGGCAGGGGAGGAGAATGGGACACTCAGCCATGCTAAGCCAGTCTATACCACTGAGCTTTACCCCTGGCCCTGACTTTTTTAAATTAACATTTGTGTGATTTGGCAGTTCTCACGAGTGAGGTGCCACAGAGGTTAAAGTAGTAAGATCCCCGGAGCTTAGGTTGCAAGGGCTTGTGAGCTGCCCACCATAGGTGCTGTGGACCGAGTTCTCATCCTCTGTACGCGGTTCTAACCACTGAGCCTTTCCTTGAGCCCTTTGATTCACTCTTGATGTTTGTAAAGATTTCCCTAGTAAATGCTAAACAATCCAGCCAAGACCGTCCTTTAAAACAGGGTGCCTTTTAAAGAATTTTATCTTTTCAAGCTTTGATGTCTGTCATTTTAGATTTATTTTATGTGTATAAATATTTTGTCTGCATGTATAAATGTGCACCACATGTGTCCCTGGTGCCCACAGAAGTCAGGAAGGGCATCAGCTTCCCTGAAACTGGAATTATAGATGGTTGTGAGCCACTATCTAGGTGCTGGGAATCAAACTCAGGTCATCTGCAAAAGCAGCAAGTGCCCTTAACCTCTGAGCCATCTCTCCATCCCCTGCTGGAAGCATTTCTGAAAGGAGATGATACTAGAAGAGAGAACTAGCCAAAGCTAGTTCTGTGGCCCCTGGGGCTCAGGTCAAAGCTCAGCAGGGATGAGGTGCCATAGTGCCACCTGAGTGAGATGGCATCTGAGAGGATCAGTTTGTTTGGGAAACTTCTTGTCCTCCTCCCTACCCCAAATCAGATCCCACTGCAAAAAAAAAAAAAAAAAAATTTAACTTCAAAATCTATACATGGTCCCTTTTAAAGTCAGTACATTATGACTACCAGTCTATTTTGTTAATATTTTATTTATGTAAGACTTCAAAATACACTATTTCCTTAGCAATGGTGCTGGTCTTTATCCTTTAAGAGTCTTAGTTGGTATAAACTAACAAGGTCAGTCTTGCCTTTGTGAGGAATCTGCCAGGACATCAAGCAGAGGTGATCTTGGCAGAACTGGTGAGCCTGGTATGTGCATGGGCCATGGAAGGAATACTCATATGACCAAGGACTCAGTAGGAAAGCTATTTCTGTCAATACCACTACACTGACTGGTTCATAAAGAGAGCTTAAACGTTCTGACTTTCCATAGAAACACAACAAATGCAACAGAAGTAGAAGCAAACGTTGTCTTGGGGTATTTGTGGAGAAGAAATAACAGATGAAGGCAGAGTAGGAGGAAAAGACCAGATCTCAGGTATCTAACCAAGGCTGGTAATGAAGCTCAGCTGGTAACGTGCTTGTCTGCTATGTATAGGACCCTGTGTACTGCAGAATAACCCCAGTACTTCAAAGTAAATGCACTATATGCGGTCCAATAAGATCATTAAGGGAAATTTTATATGTTAGAGTAAACTTGAGACTGTCTCAAAACAGACAAACAAAGCAACTTTTTTTTATACTATCTATGGTATTTCCTCTTTTGAAATGGTTCATAAGAAATCGTACATCACTAGGCATGGCGGCACATGCCTTTAATCCCAGCACTTGGGAGGCAGAGCCTGATCTCTATAGAGTGACTTCCAGGATAGCCAGGGATACACAGGGAAACCCTGTCGAGAGGATGAGGGGAAGGAAGGGAAAAAAGAAGGGATGGAGGGGGGATGGAGGGAGGGAGGGAGGGAGGGAGGGAGGGAGGGAGGAAGGAAGGAAGGAAGGAAGGAAGGAAGGAAGGAAGGAAGGAAGGAAGGGCTAGAGTGATCGCTTATCAGTTTTAAGTACCTGTTCTTGCAGAAGACTTGGGTTTGACTCCTAGCACCTATGTGGTAGCTCATAACTTTTCATAATTCTGTTTCCAGGGTCAGATACATTCTCCTTACCTTTGTAAGCACTAGGCATGCATATGGTACACATACATACATTCAGGCAAAATATTCACTACATGTAAGACTTAAAAATCTTGAAAGAGAGAAAGAAAGAAATTTAGAGATTGTGAGGTCAGATACAAAGCACACTCTCCCGGCAGGAGGAGCAGTGATGTGGGGGATCTGTTGAAAGCTATTGAGAGAGAAACTAGCAGTAAATCTGGAAATTGTACATCAGATGGCAGCCACAGCCATCTGCCCTGTCTTATACTGGGCATGTTGAACTGGCCACCAAGCACTTGAAGGATCTGTGATCACCACCTGTGTAAGTTACTATCACATTAGAAGTTAATAAGCCAGCTAGGAAAAGGTTTCACTTATTTCTTTATGGTCTAAGTCCTAGAAGCTAGTGGTACTATGAAAATATGGATTATAAAAGCCCCCATAGGTATTTGTACATTTTAAAACAAAGTCCTGAATTAAAATCTTGCTTGAGTAAACAGAACAAAACTTAGCAAACAGTGGTGTACCTTATGATGCATTTTCTGCCTCCTGCCTTGATAATAAATCCTGTTTTGCTCCCATGGTCTGACAGCACAGTGAGCCTATGCACTTGGCATCTAACTTACGTTCTCATAGACAGGTTCTCTCAGATCACAGGGTTGCTAAGTGGGATACTAGCACTTTCAGTGAGGCCACACTTTGCCATAACCATCTCACTATTTTCTCTTCATAGGCAGTCTCAGAACTTGTCAGCCCAGACATCATCATGCAGTCTCACTCAGAAAATGCAATTTCAGTCAAAGAAATTGTCACTGAAATTGAGTCCATTAGTCAAGGAGTTGGGCAGGTTCAGTTAAAAGGAGACATCCTCTCTAACCCATGCCATACACCAAAGAAGAACACCACCCATGAGCTGCCCCTGGAGAGGGTACAAGCCCCTGAAAATAAACCTGGACATTTGGAGCAGGACGAAAGTTTCTGTGGTGTCCAGCCAGAACTAGCTAGAGAGTCGGGGAAGTGTGCCCCAGAAGAAGGCTGTCTGACCATACACTCATCTACAGTAGACTTGGAAGAAGAGGAACCAGTTGAGGGGGAACATGACTGGGGCCCAGGGGTACACCCTGGTGCCAAGTGGTGCCCTGGGTCTGTGAGGCGAGCCACCCTGGAGTTTGAAGAGCGCTTGCGACAAGAGCAGGAGAACCATTGTACAGCCTCTGCAGGTCCTACATTATCCAATCGCAAGAACTCTAAGAATGATTCTTCTATGGCAGACCTAATGCCAAAATGGAAAAGTGATGAAACCACCCCAGAACATTCATTTTTCCTCAAAGAAGCCGAGCCAAGCAAGGGTAAAGGGAAATGCAGTGGCTCTGAAGCTGGATCACTATCCCACTGTGAGCATAATCCCACTGTTCCAGCCTCTGAGCTGCTGGAGCATCCTTCCTTGCCAGCTCCTCAGGACTGCCTAGGGTCAGATAGTAGAAGTAAGAATCAGGAAGGAGACCTGAAGAAGCAGAGGACTGTGGTTCTAAACCAGGAATGTGAGACACAGGCCATCCTTCTCCCCCTCCCCAAGAAAATAGAAATCATTGAGTATACACCAACAGCTACATCACTTGATCACACTGAGCCAGTAGGTGAGACAACACCCAGCAAAGAGGGTGAGAAACAAGGACTGAGGAAGGTGAAGATGGAGAGGTCTATCACTATGTTTTGTGCTCTGGATGAAAATTTGAACAGGACTCTGGACCCCAGTCAGGTTTCTCTGCATCCCCAAGTGCTACCTCTGCCTCATTCTTCCTCTTGTGACAAGCCCACTGACCCAACCCCTATGTTAAATAGCCCTCAAGACAAAGGGGACAGCCCATCCACACCCTTCAAGACAGCAGCACCTTTTGTCAGTTGCAGTACCCAGGGAGCATCTGTCAGCTTGGATTGTTTGCTTCCCCATTTCGTGGTTCACCTGGAAGGCTGCACAGAGCAAAGCAGTACCACAGACAGCGAGCTGTCTTCAGAGCAGGTTAGCTGGAAGGATAGCCAGGGGGACTTCCTTTCCAGTGGTAGTGGAATGGCACACAAATCCTCTCCATTAACTAAAGAAGACCTAAGTTTAATTAACAAACTTGGTGACAGTGTTGGCGTGTTACAGAAAAAACCAGATCCATCACCCAAAGCCTGTCGAATTCCACATAGCTCTAGTAGTGAAAATATAAGAAATCTCAGCCACAGCCATGGTGTGGTAAAGGAGCACGCTAAAGAAATTGAGTCTCGAGTGATTCTCCAAGGAGGGTTCTCCAAAACATCACATATGAAGCGCTCGGCTTCTCTTGCCAAGTTGGGTTACCTGGATCTTTGTAAAGACTACTTACCGGATAGAGAGTTTGTCTCCTCAGAATCCCCTCATCTCAAATTGCTTCAGCCCTTCCTCAGAACAGACTCAGGCATGCATGCCTTGATGGCCCATGAGCCCTCAGAAAGCCCAGGTGCCCACAAGAACCTACAGTCCACCAAGTATTTTGTAGAGCAACTAAAAGCAACAGAGTGTATTGTGCAGAACAAGCCAGTGGAGAGGCCCAGTGTGCAGTATGCCAAAGAGTTTGGTTACAGTCAGCAGTGTTTGCTCCCCAAGGCAAGACCAGAATTGACTAGCTCTGAAGGAGGCCCTCCTTTGCTACAGACACAGGGTCTGCAGTATACAGGCACCTCTCCAGGGCTGGCTGTGGCACCCCGTCAGCAACATGGCAGAACTCACCCCCTTAGGAGACTGAAAAGAGCAAGTGATAAAAAACGGACAACCAACCCCTTCTATAACACCATGTGATCCTGAGCCCACACACACGTGATTTTCTAAGAAAATGTTTGTTAAAGGGGCGGTGTAATATGTAAGGAACATGCACTTTATTGGTTAATTTTATAATATTTTGGTCATTTTACTGTTCCTGGCTCATGCAGGGTTTGGGTTTTTCCATGTGTATACGTGTGTGTGTGTGTGTGTGTGTGTGTGTGTGTGTGCATGCATGTGTGTGTTTGAGTATATGTGTTTATGTATGTGTACTGATTTGGATGGTAAGATCATTTTATTATTTTTATTTTTTAAAAATTCAAACCTCAAAAAGTTTTTTTTCAAAGAGCACCTTTATCAAAGGCAAATTGCTGTTTTTCAATCAACTGCCACTTGTCTCTTCTCATACTGCCCTCTGAGAAAAGACATGCCTGCTTGGTTGAGAGAAAGAAACAGATGGGGTAGGTGGCACTGAAGCCGGGAACTGGAAATGCTCACCCAGGCCTGAGGCGACCTGTGTGCTGAAGGGCAGAGGGAAGTCCATGCTCTCAGCCTCCTCTAGCCCTCCTTTGGAGTTCCTGAAGTTGCAGGTTCTGCTTTCCTTTAAGAGGCAGTTGAGACTCCCATTTCTTCTGATTTTCCAAAACGCATTGATCATTACAAAAAAGGAGTGGTAATTGACCTACTGATAGAAACCTACGAAGGAAATAATTTTCTCCAAGAAAACAATCTAAAATCAGAGGGAACCCTAAGTGGAATTCAAGGTCATCTGTAGAGAAATGCATTAAGAGAGAAGGTGGGGTCAAAGGTGGAAACACAGCTCCTAAGTCTCTGTGGGGCCAGTGGAATCCACACAGGTGAGTCCTGGCCCTGCCTGCCGGGTCCCCGCCTGGCGGATGACGGGCTCAGGCACCGCCTCCCAACTAAAGACCTGGAAACAGGCTTGAAAAACAGCAAAGTCAGTGTGTTCTTGTAAAATGAATACATACTGTGGGGTTTTAACCCTGTTACTTGAATACTCAGTGGGCCTTCTGAGTTTAATGGTCGTAGTTTTCCAATTGATTTCTTCTCTCTTGCTGTTTCCTCATCCTGCCATTTTCTTAATTTCACAAATTATATTTTAATTGTTACATTACATACATAGAACCTATTGAACACAAAGTTTTCTATGTTAGCCCTGTTAACACTTGATGCAAGTTTTTTCCCCTAATTTTTCCTAGGTTTGTCTTTTTTCTACAGTTCATACACAGTATTTATGTACATAATGTCACTTTTTTAATGTTTCATGGTTGATATTGTGGGTCTTTTGATTTATTCTTGTTAAGGAGTAGAGTTGCAACTGGAAAAGAGAGAGATACCAGAAATAAACTGGTAGTTTTTGGTAGAAATCTTTATTTGTTTTAAATGAAAACTTGTCATTGCCAGCTCCTGCCAAATTAAGTACTTCCTCTTGAGAAACCCTGCAGGCTCCCACTAGATCACGCTGAACGCTGGCTTCTGGTCGAGGCTGAAGTCCCAGATCATGGCTTGCCAGTAATTGAAGCACAGCCAGATATGTGTCTTTGCTGCTCAAAGTAGAGGCTCCCAGTGGGAGGCTGAGAGGCTGGGGGGGCTCAGCCAAGGACACAGATTCCACTAGGATACTACGGCTTTGTTGCTGTCCTGCCACTCTTTAACACTGGCCCGCCTGCTGCAAATACGCCCCTGAGAATAGTACAGAAAACATCTGGAGATAACCACCACAGCTTAGCAAACTGAAGAGGTCTACGACTTTGCTCCCTGTTTGCTTTTGTGGATGTCCACATTGCTGAGGATTGTCTGGGTAGGAGCCGGAGACTTAGGTTTTAATTCATCATAGCCCTAGCTGGAAAAAGACAGACACACAGATTAATGACTTTGGAGGGAGCAAGTAGTAGAATACCAGAAAAGTAGACTGCAGCCATTTTCAAGTGCTCCAGATCTGGGAGTCCACTTGCCATGCAACGCCGTGGTTGGCTCTGACATTACTGCCAGGAAGCAGTTCGCCACCAACTGCTGAAAACATGTGGGGTAGGAGTTATAGATACCTGTACTGTCTTTCGGTAGTTTCTTTAAATGTCACAGCTTTGTGAGTCTTGGATATTTGTGTGTTGTCTTATTAGGTGGTATGTATCAGTGTGTGAGGGAGGCTTGGGAAGCAAGATGGTGGATTCTAGGACACATCTGCTAAAGAGTCCTGTCTACCAGTATGACCGGAGGACAAGAAATTATGAGTGAGGAGTGTTTACATAAAGGCTGAAAGAGTGCATCACCAAAAAATAATAATAAAAGCTGGGTGTAGTAGCTCACATTTGCAATCCCCACATCTGGGAGGCTGAGGCAGGAAGATCACTATGAGCTAGATGCCAACTTCGGCTACAGAGTGAGACCCTGTCTCAAAAAAGTGGCATCCATATGCCACACATCAGCAGTGAGCACTGCACTCTCCTCTCCCAGGAGAGAATGTTCTCACTGCATCTCTCACAGCAGAGACTGAGATAAGGCCCAGCGAGGGCACTGGGGGCGGAGGGACGGACCTGGGTTTTGGTTTTGTTTTGTTTCTCAAGATTTAAAGAATGGAAGAAACCATCTTCTGCTGTCTTCCTTCTTAATTGTCTTTCCTATCATTTAACTCACCTGCCTAGGATTCTTCCACACAGGGTCTATAATTCAGCTATGCCAAAGGGTCTTGCCAGCCCTCCAAACCCCGACACTTGGGTTGTTCCTAAGTCATGCTTATGGCTAAGGCAGGTGCATAATAAGCTGTTGAAGACTTTTTACTTTAGCATTTGATAATTTCAGATTGTCTGTCTGTTTTTTTCTGTTCGTGGAAAGCCTGGACCTGACTCTGACAAACTGCTAAGCAGGAAAAACCTTGACCTCCTGACTAGTGCTTAACCTCTTGCTCAATGCCTCTGTCTCTCTTTACTGTTTTTAAGACCATAGTAGTCCTGTCAGTATGTCTGGAAAAGTGTGTAAGCACACATGTGGACACTTAGACGGGGGAACTGACATTTCAGTGCCTGGGCTAACAGCCCCAGGAACAGGCAGGATTGGAGCTATAGCCTGACTTTATTGAACTATACCTAACTGTAGGGAAGAACCGCAGCCCTTCGTTGTCTTCGGAAGCAGCAGCAGTGGGTGGTGTGGGCACAGCACAGTGGGGAGCACTGCATCTCAGTGTGGTTGCCTCTTGTTCTTTTTAACACATCGGTTCCTCTTCCTGCATCCCCACCTCTTCAGCATCTTTAGTGTTTTCCTGCTCTGTACTTTTGTCTGTGCTGCTATTTCCTTCTTTCTCATACTGGGAACTACCAAGAGCTCCAGGGACAGCCTGGGGACACATCCCAGGCTCCATAGTCTCCTGCTCCTGAGCCCAGATGTTTCCTCTGAGAGGCCTCTGACACAGTGGCTCACAGGACTCTGTACCTGAGGTTCTCTTTCAGTAAAAATGTTCTGTGGGATTTGAGGTTTTCTATTTTCTAAGAAAGCATTATGCAAAAAGTTTTAAGGGCATTTTAAAGAAAAGCCATCTTTCTTGGCTTTTTCAAACAACTATCTGTGGATACTTTGTTTACTTTGTGAGTATTAAAATATGCATCATCGCTGTGGCCTCAGGCACTGAAGCCATGGCTGTCCTATGAGTCCTCCCCCAGAGAAAATGCCATATTATTGTCATCCCTTGTGGATAAATGGGTCAGATGTGGAGCTGATGTCCATCTGTGTCCTGCACTTGCATCCAGCAGTCTTTTCTCAGTGCTGTAGTGATGGTCGTGATGGTGAATGGATAGTATGGTTGTTTGGTTTTCACTTTTTAATGGTAGACAAGGTGACATTCCGTTGTTTCAGCACCAATCCAACTTAAAAGATCATAGACTTCGTTATCCCTTCCAAACTAAAAAATCAAGCATGTATTGGACATAAGTGTACGTGTTGCCTCGACTCATCTGGCACCCATATTAGGAAAAGGCCTACCACCAAAGCAGGAAGCGGCACGCTCCTTTCCCCAGGGCTTTGGGACCTCTTGATGCCATGGAGAGTTGTTGCAAGGTGCTTCCCTACTGCTCCAACCTGAAGCAGAGGTGACTGGGCCTGGCTTCTGCTACGAAGAGAAGCAGCCTCATCTCGTGCCCCAGAGATCTAGGATGGGATTTCTAAACTGGAATCACCCCTTAATCAACTTGAAGAGCTCCAACCCCCACCCAGGTATAGGGCTAGTGCTGCCACCTGTCTTCACAGTGACGGTAGTGGCAGCGTCCTGCCTACAGAGAGCAAATACCCCAAATGGAAAGCTGAGGAACTGACATGATGTTTCTTAGTCAGTAAGCCCACTGGGAATTGATGGGTTTTATTTGATTGTGATTTGCTTGGCATAGATAAAGGTGCCTTTCCCTCTCCCCACACCTTTTAAACTTTGTTTTGTAAGACTTGTTTGAAACCCAAACAAGTCCAAAAGACTCGCACTGACTGTTACCTTTGTCCAGGCTATCCCAAACTTCTATATGCTCTCATTTTATTAAAAGCAGGTGCTCCCTGGAATCTCTGGGACCTTTTTGAGGCATTTAAAGCAGAATATAGAGAGTGGCCTCATCTCCTTCCTTAATCCTGGTGGTTGGGATGTCCCACTTGTATCATAGTTTTTATTACTGATGTGCTCCGCTGTTTTTAAATGTGAACTTGTGCGCAGATGTGCAGATTCAATGTTCTTGTTACAGATTGAATAAATTTTTATTTTGAAGACAAAATGTTCGTTTCATGTGTAACAAAAGAGAGGGCTGATAGGGAAGGTGGGGGGTTAGAAAACAGCACAGACACAGATAGACCAGCACATACTGAAGAACTTTAGTGTGGGGAAATGAATATATACACATGTACACATATACACATATGTACATGCATTTGTGTATGTGCATGTATATAACCTACCTTTCACAAAAGACTGCATAGGAAACAGGGTTACCAAAAGGTGCAGACAATGAGACTCAGATCAAATGACCAGGCTGGGAACTTGGCTGGTCAAAGAGTCACTCATGGAAGCTGTCACCTGAATGTTAGAATGAATAAACACAGTTCTTCTGCCAGCCATGGTACAGAGTGACTGGGGTGGGACATTGCTGTAGCATTGGCTGGAGTTGCTGTGTGGGTCACCGGATATTAACACAGAACAAACAAGTTTCATCACTGTGAAATCTACTAGTCTGGGGAGGGGGCTCAATGGTTAAGAGCACTGGCTGCCAGGTTCAAATCCTAGCACCCACACAGCAGCTCACAACTGTCTGTAGCTCCAAGATCTGACACCCTCACACACATGCATTCAGACAAAGCACCAATGCACATTAAAAGAAAAAAATTTTAAAGCTACAAAGCCCAAATACAATACTATCCAAATACAGTACAGTACAGCCCAAATACAGTACTATCTGTGGGAACTCTATTAGTTGCCCAATTGTCAAAGAAATTTTCTGATGTTTTCAAAGAAAATACCAGCCTACTTTCTGAATCTGCCAAGTCAAGTGCGTGGCACACTCACTTGAGTGGGTGTACATGATGGTGAAGATATGATCACCTCACAAAATATTCCAGAAGTGCTTGGGCTCCTGACCAACTAAATACATTCAGTCCCAGCTTTGTAGCCAAAGCAAAAGAACCAAATCATGTCTTGGTTATCGGGTCTCTTTCAGAAAATGAGTTTGTGAAACGAAATTCCTGTTAGCCTCATGGATTGCAGTTCAGAACTCACTGACATTTCTATGGGGGAACCAAGCCCAGTGGCTTCTTTGCCTGACTGGTGGTGTTTATTTTTTTGTTTTTTTTTTTTAAGATTTATTTTTTATATGTGAGTACACTGTAGCTGTCTTCAGACACATCAGAAGATGGCATCAGATCTCATTACAGATGGTTGTGAGCCACCATGTGGTTGCTGGGAATTGAACTCAGGACCTCTGGAAGAGCAGTCGGTGCTCTTAACCACTGAGCCATCTCTCCAGCCCCAACTGGTGTTGTTTTTAACTTTATGAATGTTTTCCCTGCATGTATGTTGGTGCACCACATGTGTGTCTGATACCTGTGGAGGCTAGGAGAGAATATCGATCTCCAAGAACTGGAGTTAAAGTTATAGATGGTTGTAAGCTGCTGCGTGGGTTCTGAGAAGTGAACTTGGGTTACCAGAATGTGCCCCCCAGCACAGTGTGAGCTAACCATGTACCTGGAATCTTAAGGTAAAAGACTCCTCCCATCCTTGTGATTCTGCACACATAGAAGCTATGAATTCTCTGTGTAGCACCAACAATTTCTGGTTCTGATCCTCTACAAACCACTGAATACCTAAACCTCTCCTGAGAAACAAGCCTATAGACACCCACGTGCTCGTATGTTCTCTCTCACTCTCTCGTTCTCTCTCGTCCTCTCTCTCTCTCTCTCTCTCTCTCTCTCTCTCTCTCTCACACACACACACACACACACACACACACACACACACACACAGAGGTCTCTGGAAAACTTCACTACTGATTCTATGTGCTGCCTGAAACTGGCCCCACAGCAACTCAAGGAACTGACTATTTTATCTTCTTGACCTTGAATACTACTCAAGACTATGAGTCTTGGGGGTGAGGGATTCTGCCCTAAAATAAAGGGATCGTCTCAAACAAAGCCCAGAGGGCTAAACATCCTCTTCAGAGTTGATCTCTCTGACCTCTAAAATATGGTCAGATATCTGTGCCAACATCTTCCCCTTGAACCTGGTGCTGGGAGTTCACTTTTCTCTGCTTAGTCTCTGACCTACCGGATTAAGCCGTGGCTCATAAAACCTTCTAATAGGGATGAAATGCCTATACTGGTGCCAATGTTTTAAATTCTCAAACAATCGCCATCGTTATTAATAACAGCCGTAGCCTCACAGTTGCCCTGAGCCAGCCTAGACCCTCATCAAGCGACTGAGACGATTCCCCCAGAGTATCTTCTGGGGCCTCTAGCAGGCGGGTCGTGGCTGTTCGGGGACAACCCCGCCCGCTGGGAACGACTAAATTAGCTGCGCGATTGCGGCAGGAATGAGGCGCGCAGGCACCTGATCTCGCGCGGTGGCTCCCCGCCTCCGTGTCCCGCTTTGGACCAAGCGCCTGGGCCTCCCTCCGGAACCTGTCTGCGAGGGGCGGAGGGAGACACGAGGCACGAACACCCCGCAAGCGCACGCACACTTACTTTTCCCTTTTTACTGCGGACTTGAGACGCCGGACTTTCCCGCGCTGGACTGGGCGTGGCCGCTCTGGCCTGGCCCTGCCCCCGTCCGGCCCCGCCCCCTCAGGTTGATGGCAGCAGCAGCTGGGACTGCAGCGGAGCCCGCAGCCCAGAGCCGCAGGCAGCGGCCGGAACACGCTGGCCCGGACGCACCGACGCCTCCTCCCTCGGCCGTCCGCACACCCCGGCCCGCTCCGCAGAGGAGTCGCCGCGTGAGCACCTCCGCCCGGCTTAGGACCAGGTACCCCTCTCCCCGCCTCCGCCACCGCAGGCCAACGGCGCGGGCGGGGTCTTTGGAGGGGGCAGAGGTCTGCGCCCCCCCTCCCCCGCCGCTATATTCGGTCCGGCAGGGCGGACTTGGTGTCTATATTTGGCCGGACAGCGTCTGGCGAGGAGACACCTAGTCTCACACGAACGCACTGCCGGGGCAGGAGGCTGGAGGAGGGGGCGAGTAGGCCGGCCTTCAGGCCTGGGGCTGCAGGAGCAGTTTGAAGGGCACAGGGATGCCCTGGCTGGGGAGGGGCAGGAAGCAGTTGGCCTTTGGGAGAACCTGCTGTGTCCCCTTGGGAAGAGTAGCAAGCATAGCTAAGATCCTAGCTCCAGGAGCTGGGGTCGTAGCACCAAAAAGAGAACCTGGTTGCACATCTGGTCCTTGCAGGTGGGGGTCAAGGACTCCCACCCTCAAGAGAATCTACTAACCAGCAAAGGCATCGCACCCAAGAGGCTGGACTAAAGCATGATATTTGTGTCAGATGACCATAGCCAGGGCTCCCCCCACCCCACCCTGAGAAACCGGTGCATGGTGAACTGGACAGAAGGAAGACCGGCCTTACACTGCCCACTCCCACATACCCCACCCCACGGGAGGAATCTGCAGAAAACAGTAGGGAACAGGCTAACAGGAGGACCTTTCCTCTTGGAGAATCTATAGAAAAAGATACATCTTCTTGAACCCTTCCAGAGATGTGAATGTGGGATCTTGAGGGCTGTAGTCCTACCTAGCCCGGCAACTAGCCTTGAGCTACAGTCCAGTGACTAAGTGTGTTGAGTGGGGTGCCTTTCAAAGGGACAAACACTTGCAAAGAGGTGCTCACCCATGACTGGCAGCATGAGGGGACCCACTGATATTGCTTCTCAAAACATTCAGTCTTGCAGGAAGTTTCAGCCCTGTGTCAGCCTGTTATCACCCCCCCCAGCCTGTGTGTCTAAGACGTGGTGAGACTCCCCACCCTTGTCCCTCATGTTAAACAACATGAGATAGGTGCCAAAAACCTGCCTCGGCCTTTGGTCACTTTGAAGATCCTTGCCAGATAATCCTACTCACTCGCTCCTCCCTCCCACAGCTCACAGGATTAAAGACCAACGTGCCTCTAGGCTCTGGATAGCCCCTATCTTTGCCCCAGCCATGAGCCGGCGTGTGGTTCGGCAAAGCAAGTTCCGCCATGTGTTTGGTCAGGCAGCAAAGGCCGACCAGGCCTATGAGGACATCCGGGTATCCAAGGTCACATGGGACAGCGCCTTCTGTGCAGTCAACCCCAAATTTCTAGCCATTATTGTGGAGGCTGGAGGTGGAGGTGCCTTCATTGTTCTGCCTCTGGCCAAGGTGAGGGATGAGGGGAAGGAACCAATTGGGAGGGCTCTGGCTGGGATCTCTGGGATATCACACACTAGCCTTTTCTCACTGAAGTGCAGGCCTCCAGAAGGGCAGTCTGTGTGGATTAGTTACTCTGTCCTTGCCAAACACACAAAGAATAGTGGGGAACAGCAATATCAGGGTGACCTGTGTCCACTTTCTAGGCCACAAAGCACCGTGTTCCTAGCAGAAACCAAGATGAGAGTTAGTGATGGAGATGGTTGGGATGCCGCAGACCAAGGTCCAATCAGACTCTGACCTTATTGTTCCCCAGTGTCAGAGACCGACAGAGACACAGAGAGAGACAGACAGAGACAGACACACACACACACAGAGACAGACATACACACACACATAGAGACAGAGA